ATGGTGGAGGCCAATGTACAGATGTCTGTCTGTCTATCTGTCCAGATGGGTCAAATCTTGTTCCATTAGTTTCTCATTTCTGGGGCATTGAAGTGCAGTTTGGTACACAGATACTTTGTTAAGAACTCCAGATCTGATTATAGATTCTTGTAAATATATGCATATAAATTAACTAATAATTGCAGTAAATGTCATATTATCTGGTGATGCTAGCCCTAAGTGTACACATACCAACATACTCCAGATAAAGTATCTCAGTTATTTAGAGTTGTTTTCTGAAAATAAAATTTGAAAGTTATATTTTTTTAGAAAACTCATATTTTTCCTTCTTTTGTATTTTTAGATATTTTATCTGCAAACTTAGATGTGTCCGCGGCACAAGACAATTATCCAATTGACCAGGCTGTGGCTGCCAGTCTATCCTTCACTGCTACAAACCGTGGTCCTGGAAGTATCCCCGCTGTGATCGGATCCCAAAATAATTTCATAATTGAGGCATTTTTAACTAATGCAGACAATCTGGAGAATGCAACTATTCAGATTAAAATTCCAAACTTCAATATTCAGTCGGACCAACTGCAGCAAGAATTTGCCATCAGTGATACCATCCTGTTCTCCACATCATCCATGCAGATTACGATACCTTCTGAGTACTGTGATGACATCTCGCATATCTGTACGAAAGTTACCATACCAGATTCTAGCCTATATACTGATATTATTCCTGAATTGGCTGATACATGTTTAGCATTCGAAGGCAGTGCCGGGAATATACACTGCTATATAGGTAGGTGACCTTATAAGGCCAACACTGGAACAATATTTCTGTATATCAATGTGTATTTCAACAATTGGCAATCTCCAATATTCAGTTGATTATATTGAAAACAGCATCCAAGCTATTCTGAATTTTGTATGTTGATTTTTGGAATGAATGGTCAAGGCTGTGACCACCTGTCCATAGTGACCAGCTTTATATAAAGATCACCTGCCAGTATGTAAAAGCCACTTGTCTAAATGTGACCAGTGACCACACTTTTGGCACTGGCACCAGTTTGGTCAAATAAACCTGAGTATAAATGCCAAAATAATGAAAGATAATTACATGTTTAGTGTTTTACAATTTAAATAAAACGAACATGTTTATTTTTATTCATTCATTATCTGTTGCTAAATTGCCTCCTTAAACGGGAAATGATTGTAATATTTTTATGCACAATTTCATTAATCAAGTCTCATTCAAAGACTGTCTATAAAGAACAATTGTTGTATTCACTACACAGGTTTTAATACCCATTGATATTTGGCAGTATGTACATAAATTTAGTAGAAAAACTATAAATACTTGCAGTTACACATTGGTATTAGATGCATAGTCACACATGAATACATAATTTAATAATGAATTTTTTTACATGTACTGATATGAAATGTGTGTTTTTCATTGAAATACAAATTTCTGATTATGGTCATTGATGAACCACTTACTAGATTTGCTTTTTTCAACTGTGTGTTTTTTGTATCCTTAGATCTTGCTGCCACTGATCTTGACCTTGCAGTGACCTATGATTTGACCTATGACCCTGGATATCAACAGAACATCTACTTACAGCTTTCTGTCACTAACCTAGGGGGATTGACCCTAGTGGAGTCTATTGACTATAACTTCAAACCGACCACTTATCTGACAGATAGTGGACAATTTGAAAGTGCTACAGTTTCGATCCAACAAGATGATCTTGGAACAACGTTCAACCCGAGGATTAATGGAGATTCATCTGTGAACCTGCAGGAATTCCCAGTGTCTGTTACCATACCAACTGTGAAGTCTGAATGTGAATCGATAAGCTATCTCTGCATAATGATTGACCACAATATAAACCATTATACAGATATTGATTCCAGTAATGATGACGCATGTATTCAGTTTGGTGAAGTGAGTGCAGGGAATGCTGGGACTTTTTCCTGTAATATTTTGGTTGGTGAGTCGCTATTCAAATCAGTATTGTCTACCAGTCAGGAATTTCTAATTTCATATTTTCATTTAGTTAACAAGTTTCAGGCGTTGATGGATTTGGTTAAAACTTTTTGAGATCTTATTGCACAGTATTTTTTTTGGTGATATGATCCAACATGGCTGACTTCATCGAGCAGAGTATTAAAGTCATATTACAGATTGCGCATCATCGACAATATCAATTTTTTAATGGCGTCCGCGTCAACTTTTTTCTGAAACGTGCAAGTCTGGTTGCTTTGATAATTGATATAAATGTACCTCTGGTGGACCTCTGTCAGATTTTGTGATGATATGTTCAAAACTCTAATTTTGATGAACATTTTCGTCATTTTTGATAAAAAGTAATATTCTCAACTTTTTCTTGAAACTGCAAGTCTGATTGATTTGATATATAATATGTAGGTATCTCAGACAGGCCTATTTTGGGTTTGTTCATTTAGTTATGATTGTAAATATTTTTTTCGAATTTCAAAAGGAGATATTGTTCGTCATTTGATGTGACAGCTAGTATTAGAATTATTATAATATTCCTAATAGTGATTTCTAGATATGAAACTTTTGTTTTGTGTAACCTTTCCAACCATGACATATTAATAAACATCTTCTTAATTAATTCATAATCTCTTTAACCTTACAGATCTTGAGGTTGACAACTTAGCATACACACCAACCCAAGATATGTACCCATTTGACACAGTGGTGCCAGCTGACGTCACGCTTCGAGTGACCAATCGCGGCTTCGGGCACGTTCCCCGAGCTCGCGGATCAGACGTAAATTTTGACGTGAAGACCTATCTAACAAACTCTGGCAACTTTGAAGATGCCACAGTGAAAATTGAACAACCAAACTTAGACATTGATGTTGTACAGCTCCAGCAGCAGTTGTTGTCAGGCATAGGAGAAGAAATTGATCTCTCATTTTCAGTGGATATTCTGGTACCAATTCAGAACTGTCAGAGTCTAAGCCATATTTGTTTTATCGTGACTCTCCATAATGAAGATAATTTAGTGTTTTATGATGACAACAGTGACAATAATGATGTGTGTATAGAGTTTGGTCCAATTGAAGAGAATAAAGCTGGCAAAGTTCTTTGTTTTATTGGTCAGTAATTTCATGACATTATCTTGTAATTTTCTGATCACCCTATGATCATTATAAATTTTTTACGTTTCTCAAAATAGAATAGCTGCACTTTTTTTAAAGTATTATAAACATTTTAGATTAAAATTGCAGAAAATTCACAGCAGCGTGCAGACAGTAGAACTAGAATTGTGTAGTTAAATATGAATACTCTAAAATATGTTGAACTATAGCTACTAAAATTTATAAAATATATAATCTTTATTTAGCCAATATGCCAAATCGTAATTTTTACATGTCTGGAGCTGTTTCTCAGAGATGACTAGGCCAATTTGGATCAAAGTTGGTATGATGATCAAACTAATATGGATGACTGGTGGCCATTTTGTTTTTCATGATACCCATGAATGCAATGAACATTTCTGTTTAAATTTTGTACAAAGACAGTATACCAATAGATACATCAACATGAACAGGGACTGTATCATTAACAGTGACTTGTAGTAAAATAATTATTGTGATAATTGGGGTGAACAATTATATCACACAATAAAATTTAAAATATTTTGTTTTGTTTCAGACATTGCTGCTATTGATCTTGAGATACAACTTGAATCGTCAAACACCTTGACCTATGAACCTGGAAAACCATCACAGGTCATGGTTCAACTCACCGTCACCAACTATGGTGGGCTCGACCTCACAACAGCGCCTTCAGGTACATACAACTTTGGAACACAGGTCTTCATAACGAACACCGACAACTTGTACACTGCAAGTGTGAAAACAGAGCAAGATCCTCCTGAGAAAATTTTCATGCATGAAGTAGGAGCTGGATTTATAGTTATTCTGCCCATATTTGCGATAAATATAACGATACCAACAGATATAAACTGTCTGAACTTGAAATACCTGTGTCTGCTATTGAATCATAACGTATACAGATACATTGACAGGAATAGTTTAAATGATTTTGTATGTCTGGAATTTGGTTCGGTAAAAGCTGGAAAAGCGGGAAGACTACCTTGCAATGGCCTTCCAGGTAGGTTTACTATTTACTGTGGTGAATGCAAATATATATACATATCTACCGGACGTTTTCTCACCTTAAATGAAATAAACCCTATCTTTATTTTCTATTTTACTAAATCACACTTTTTAATTTGTTTGAACAAAACATTCCTATTATCATTGTGACATACATTTTATCAGTTTTGTTGCTAAAGTGTTGTATATCATTTACTGAAACATTTTATTTTCCAGAACCAATGACAACACCTAAGCCAATCACACAAACTCCTTTAATATTTGAAACATTTCGTCCTGCAAACTGGTCACATGGATATGGTACTGGTAATTTTGGCAGACTTGAAACTGATGGATTAGCTCTTCATTATGTCATGATTATCACTACGCTGGTTTTCATCACTGTTATCGTAGCTGCTGTAGTTCTCATAAAGTAAGCATATAAATTCTGTGACAAAGACTATGCAAACGTAAATGCCTTTGATTTGTATTAGCTTTAAATCTGACATTGTTATATTGACACTATGTTGGACATTGTTGCACTGACACTATGTTG